AGTTTACTCAAAGCAATTTTTGGTTTTCAGTTTCACCATGTTTAAATATTTGCAATAATAAATATATAAAAAATATATTGTTTCACTTACTGTGCCATGGGGTCAATACTTCCAACAAGTTCCCAAAGAGAATATTAGGCTTTGGCCCAGGGAAATTCTTCAACCACTTCTTCGGCTTCTTCAAATAGTAGAGGAGCAGCAGCAATACAATGATACCAGCTATGTATTCACTAAACATTTTCGGTAGTTCAATCACCGCGTCAGATAGGTTGTAAGTAGTGTGTTCAAAAAATGCAGAATGAATAACATCGAGCTTAAGAAAACTAAAGCCTCCCTCTAATTACTGGTGGTCAGGACAGGAACTTTATCCTGGAAAATAACTGCGTTCAGTAGCGCGCAAAATTTCATTTTGGTAGATTTTAAACCAATATGTTATTATTGTATTGTCCTAAGAACCAGAAAATTCCTTTAATTTTTTTTTGGGATACAAGATTCGAATATTTTTTTATACAGGATGTAAATAAATTAACGCCAAAAATTCAGGGGATGATTCCTCGTAGAAAAATAAGGTGGATCCTTCATACAGAAAAAAACGTCTCGCAATGTTTTCACAAAATGAATGATTTCTTACCAAACAATTTATTTAAAATCAATTATATGGTATGATTCTTTCAGCATGATGATGCGCCTCCACTTAATTCCCACATAGTTAGAGAATTATTAAATCATAATTTCGGGGACAATTGGATCGGTTCGTACGGACCAAACAGGTGGCCGCCTAGGTCACCAGACTTAACCCCTACAGACTTTTATTTTTTGGGGGATCTTAAAGACAAAATTTATAAGCGTAGAGCTAATAATGTCGAGGAGCTAAGGGAACATTTTGAAAATTATATTCAGCGGGTGTCAAGTATCCACATTTACAATGCCAAACGTTGTCAATTATGTATCAACGAAAATGGCCAACAATTCGAGCATTTGCTGTGACTTTGTTATGTCATTTTTGTTTTATTGTTGTTTCTCTTTTTTTAAAGTTGTTATTTTTGTTTAGTTTACGTTTAATAGTTATAAGTGTATCCATAATTAAACCTATTAAGTAAAAATAAATGGATATCTAATAAATGCTATTCAACGGGTGTTCTATTTAAAAAAAAAACTATGATTATGTAATATCGGAAAAACTGTGCGATTTGTAAAAAATCTGAGTATGCCACTGGCTTCCTAATAAAAAATTGAATGACACCGGAGATAGAAAGGTTAATGTAAATGGGCCATTTTTGAAAAAAACCCTGTATATCTAAAACTAATCAAGTTAGCCAGGATCTTTGGGTACCAGCGAAGTAAACTCAAAAAAGAGGACGGAACATCGATATCTGATTTTTTGTATTTATCGCCGTTTTGACTGTACCCTACAAAACCATCGAAAATCAACCGCCCTGTACATGTTATTCTGGGATACCCTGTATATCTCAATAATATTTGAGGTACAGTACAATTAAAGTATCTCTAACAAAGTCTACCACTTGGAGGATCCGCCACTGGCTAATCCATAGGTGCATTTGAATAATGTGCAGGTAAATAATAAACACGCAATGACGACATTTCAAAAACCCCAAAAAATTGCTGGAGTTAAGCAAGGCCACAGCCAATGCGTTTCAATAACAAGGTAGACAAAAACAAAGTAAACAAGCTGTCGCAAATTTCTGAAGACTCTCGAGTCTTAGATATTTTTACCATATCGAAGGAGGCAAGCAATTATATTTAACTACTAAAAATTATAAATACTTAATCTAAATACAGATAGATACAATACAAACTAAACTTAATACAGTAATAACGAAACAATTAGACAAAAGAAAAAATACAAAAGATAATCCAAATATCATCAAAAGATACGTTCCTGATTTAGTAATTGTATAGCAACATCCAAAATACGCTTAAAATTATCAAAATTAATATCACACAAGTGGCATAATTTATTAAAGTTACAGCACATTACATATAAAGGTGATTTTAAAGTAAGATTAGTTCTAGGAATGTTAAGAAAAAATGTTTTCGTGTCTCGAGTGTTCTCTAGGTATATGAAACTGAATTTGAGACAGAAAAACAAGCAATTGTTATGTAACAATTTGTATAAAAAAGATAGTGAAAAACCTTGTCAGTAGGTAACGTATTGGATATATTAAGATGCAATTTGTTATTTGAACACCAAGTTTGCAAATTATCGATGTAAAGATATTCATATCATCAGCAAATAATATTATTACAGTCAATTACTTGACAAATGTAGTTAATAAAAATTAAAAATAATAATGGTCCTAAATTTGATCCCTGAGGGACTCCTGAAGTTGAAAAGTAATTGGGTGATACAAACCCATTATATGAAACAATTTGGACTCTATTATTTAAGTATGATTTAAATAGAGATAACACGTTGCTGTTAAAGCCAGATTTATCTAAAGTATCAGATACAAATTGAGTAAATACTATATTTGTAACAGTGGACCTGTTCATCATAAAACCGTGCTGTTCCACGACTAACTGACCCCTAATAGCATTGTATATACGACTATACAGCATAATTTCAAAAATTTTAGAAAAGTTGGACAGGTTAGATATAGGACGATAATTTTCAATATTCACAAACACATATATATAATCTTTTGATGTCATTTTATTTTTTAATTCTTTGGAAGCTAATAAAATTTCAGATTTAGATATAGGTTCAATACTAATTAATGCTGAATTGTATCATGAGATATTGATTTTAGAAGTAGATGGAATAAAAACACATTTTGTCGGGTATTCTAGTGCTTGTATTTTTTTAATGAATAAAAGACCAATACTTTTGTGGATTGTATGAAATTGAATTTTGACGTTGTCTAGAAACTTCTTATAAACTTCCTTAATCTGATCTTTAATTAACTTTCTCAAATGTTTAAATTTATTTAAAGTGTGTGAGCTCTGACGTTCTTTATGCTTTTTAAAAAGTTTAGCCTTAGTTTTGATATTTTTTATAATTTCAGGACTATACCAAGGTGGATATGTATGGCTATAATTTCTATATGATGAATATAAAATATTTAATACAAACGTTCATAAAAAATGTTTCAGGCCACATTAATATTATCATAATTATTTAAAAATGACCAGTTAGTATAGTATAGCTAACGCAGGACGATGTAAGTCCTCAAAAAGAACATCATCATGTACAACTTTATATTCAAAATTTGATAAAATTAAATCAAGCAAACAGAGATTGTGATTTAATACGATATTATACTGACAAAGATGTAATACATTTATTAAGTTATTAATTGCGTTTGTTTTCCTGTCTGCATTGTCTAAATTAACAAATTTAGGAATATTAAAGTCCCTCAAAAAATGTCAATCACTGATATACACTGATCTAAAATCGACGGGTCTGAGCGTTTTTCTACAATCTTGACGCAGTTCCTGAAAATGACTCTGTTTCGTTTTCATTTGGCCACCCTGTATAAACTATTTTGCGGAGAAATGAACATTAACATATAAGAAAATCAATTATGGGAAAACTTTTATCAAGGAAAGATGTATTAATAATATCACAAACATAACATTTTTGACAGCCAATAATACACCTCCCCCTCCAAGTTTACCTACAAATTTTAGGTTTTGGTCTTTACGATAAACCCTATAAGAATCCGGAAACAATTCAGTACTAAACACATCTCCGCGCAAATTCAGTAGATACTGCTGAGGGAAAAATGTCCATTTTAGTATTAAGAGCACGGACGTTTTGATAATAGCAATGCAAATTATTTTGAGAACTGCTGAGAGTAATTAGTTTTTTTTAGTAACAATTTGTGGAATTCCGCGGATATATTTAATTGCTAGATCCTGTTCACCATTATCAGTACGAATTGTTCCGATAGATTTCTATATTTATCACGTTGTAGCGGGATAAGATCAACATTTATAAAAACTTTACTATCTCGCTTTATCTTAGATCGGTTCTTTACAATATTCATGACAATTTCATTATTATGTAAAGTCACTTTTAAAGCTCGAATACAATTTTTGTTCTTCTTTCCTACCCTTGAAGTACGTAAGATAGACACAGCATCAGAAACAAAATAAAACAAAAAAAGAAAACAAAAGATCAGAAAACATTTTTGTTTCATAAGCTCGAAAGTTAACTGTTGCCAAAAAGAGTGAATTCCCGAGCGGCTTTTCCTTATCCGGGGACAATTTATTTATAACGCTGTTTTTCACTTTCTATTTTGTTAGTTGTAAAGAGCAACCTAATTTCAACTTTTTAAAATTTTTCTTTTTCGGTACGTTTCATTAGAACCTATATTTACGATATTAACTTATAAAATTAACGTTTAGTAATTAAACAATTAGTTGCAAAAAACTAACGATATTAATTAACAAATACCTGGAACAACAATTTCACGGTGAATTGGCCTTTGGCACACATGTTGGTCATTGGATTGACCGTCCTTTTCATAAAGTTCATCAGCATCCATCGCTTTTTGCAATAATAATAGGCAATTTTCGAAAACTGATTCTTCCGCGTTTCACTTTTATTTTGCAGTTAACAAACAGCAGTTAACAGTTATTGAAAAAATAAAACTTGTTTATTTGGTATGGCTGGATTCGGTTTTCTATAAGCTTTTCAACGAGCCCCCTCATGCCTTATGTTCCCATTTGAAAAAAAAGTAGGGGTAGCTGAGGGTTAGGGGGGCGTTTTAAAAAAATTTACTCATTCAAAAGATATGAATTTTATTCCGTACTTCTGGCCATTCCTGTATATAATACGTTTAGTAGTGACAATAAAGTAAGTTCTAAATCGTCAGTCAACCCAAGCAACGCGAGACTGGTGATGTTTCTGTGATTTTTGTAGGAAAAATGTAGATATATGTAATTTTCCAATGAGCGAAAATAATACGACAAAACATAAGTAATCAAAAACACTTATTTTTAACAACATAATATAATTGATGTATAAAACTTAATCATCTTTTCCTGAAAGACACATAGCATCCATTTATGGGAGCTAACACAACTTTTGGGGAAAGTTTTACTTCTTGGTGTGGTTTGGCTGGAAGGACTAAGAAATTCCTGAGGATTTTCGAGACGACGCTTTTTGTTTCTAACATACCAAACATTTTCCCTAAAAATAATTTCGTTCATAATTATAATAAATCTAAATAGATTCGTCCTTACCTATACAATTGCGAGGTCCCGCGCTGAACGGTACGAAATTGTACTGATATTTGCCGGCGTCATCCTCGAATCTCTCTGGTTTAAATTTCTCAGGTTCAGGAAAAACTTCAGGATTCTGGTGAATGTCATACAGGAACAACACTATGTCTGTATCCTTTGGAAATGTCATCCCATCTGAAAGAATTATAGAAAATCGTATTCGGTCGATGACTTCCCATCATAGGCGTAGGTAGGATTTTTGGATCGATATATTTTTTGCCCTTAATTTTCAGTTCTGGCGCCTCTTAAAATATTTGTACTGCATTTTGAATCACCTTATATAAATTTTAAAGATATGTTAACTGCTTAAAATGAACCTCCGCCCTATTCCTGTATTCAGGAACCGTCACTAACGTCTCGGTCGATTTTTTTCTACTTACTCCATTCTAGTTCCTCTTCAATCTTCCTCGCTATAAAGGGCGCTGGACTGTACATCCTCATTGTTTCTTTGATCACAGCTTCTAGATATTTCATATCTTGTAGGTCCCTTATGGTGATTTCAGGTGCAACGTTACCTCCAAAAAGGAGCTTCTGTTCTTGGTACGCCTTTTCCTAAACAACGTATGTGTCAAGTGTCAACTTGTTAATGTATGTGTCAATATTTAATCGCATCCAATCTGAAGTGTCAATTTGTCAATGTATATGTCAATATTTAATCTCAACTAACCTGAACCTCTGGATGGTGGGCCAAACAGTATAAGATGAAAGTCATTGATGACGCTGTTGTATCTTGACCCTGTAAATATACTTAGTACAATTTAAGGCAGGATAATAAGTTTAATTTTTCATTAATCGATCATCGTTTTCATAACAAACAAATACAATTTGTATTTGCGTCACGAATATTTAAAAAATGCCACCAAATAACAAACAAGTTAAGAGAATAAAAAAAGAACAGCTTTCCAAATCCAAACTAAGAGGCGAAGCTTGTTTGCCGTTTGTATTATTTTAAATTTGTGGGATATTATTCAATTTACTCACAAATATGAATAAAGGGCGTGATTTTGAGCATTTAAATCGGAGAAATATTGATTAGGATATAAAACCAACGCAAATATTAGTACTAATTGTAAGCACTCGCTTCGAAAAACATGTGCTCTCGTGGGAATTTGATGCAAAAACAAAGCAATCTATAGCTCAAGCACAAATTAACAAAATTATCAGATCATAATTTTCCATGAGTAAACAACGATGCAAAATATCAGTTGTTATAATTAAAACAACATTTTTTTAGCCAAATTTCTACATAAAAGCTAACTAAAAAACCGAGGAAAAAACATTGTTTTCCAAAGGATCTTCAGATTCCATGTCTAGTCCTTCTGATTCCAGATCAATATGCTCTTGGTAATTTTTAAAGCATTTATGTTTGCATTAAATATTTCTATCGCGTTTTCCAAAATTCAAGATTTGTATTTCGCGCCATTTGTGCGATAAAGTATTGCCAACGAAAAAAAAGAAAAGACAGCGGGTACCTGACAGTTCTGGGTTATTAAAAATAGAGGGTTACAAGAACTAGATTTTATTATTTTTTTAAATAAATTATTGAATTTCTTTAATTTTCTTTAATTTTATGGGTTATTTTTCAAATAAAATAGTAGTGTTACATATTGACGTTTTCGCAATTTTATCCTCTATCTGTTACTGTCAAGGTCCAATATGGCGCCCATAAGAAAGAAAAAAACAATTGAATGTTGCTTAACTGAAACTAGTGTCCGTAGAAATTTTCTTTCGACGAAAATGCATTCCTCATATCTTCTTATCCTCCAGTACCAAATTTCAGTTCTTTCTGTTGTGAAATAAGGACACTAGATTGCATTTTCTAAAATCACTATTTTCAGTTTTTCACAACATTTCAAGAACGGCTGTGGATATCTTTGATATGTTTGGTTTATTTTAATGATCACAACTTTTTCTAATTTGAGCCACCCTGTATATCATACGGTGAGCCATGAAAAGCATCGAATTTTATTTTAAATTACTAATAGTCCAATTAAATGGGCATTTAAATCGCAATTTGGTCAACTTGCCTGAATTTTTTATATAAGTTTGTTTGAGGTAAGTAATAACAATAAGTGTAACAGTAATTTTCTAATTTCTAATTTCACAAAGCGAACGTAAATCTTTATCATAAAACAAAATTTCGATAGTAACTTTTCATTATTTTAAATAATCAATCGAATGGCATAGAAAAAAATTGTTTGATAGTTAAATCATAAAAATTAACGATTAATAAATTGAACTTTTTTATTAAAAATTAAAAAATATATCTATTTCTCTGAAAAGAAAGTTTACATTTTTTTAGAGTAGATAGAAAAAAATTATATAAAATTAATTCATTTTTCTGCTTGTTATGATTTTTTTTAATTTCTGAAATCATCCCTTAACTTCTAGTCACCCTAACTGTTAATTTTAATAGTACAAAAAAAGTCAGTAGACCATTTTTATGTTGAATTTTATGCTCTACACCTTTTTTATAGATTTGATTTTCTAATTTTTAACCCCTTTTGAATTATTTTGAAAAACCCCTTTATTTTATCTTTTTTCACCCCTGGCTGGGGATTAAAAAAAATTACTCACTTATTTTTATTATATACCTACTTCAAACTAACTTATATCAAAAATTCAGCCAAGTTGACCAAATTGAGATTTAATTGGACTATAAATTTGGTTCGGAAAAAAATAAAAAATTCTTGAACACGCTATATCTCAAAAACGAAATAATAACAGATCCATGTTTATAATACTTTTTGTATTATTTTTTAATGAAAAATATTGTCTCCAGGAACGGCACATGTTTTTTGAAGAGTCCTAAATGTACAAAAAAATTATTTGTGTGAAAAATGATTTTCAGGATAAACGATGTTAAATACACTTCAATTTTAAAAGTCTACGTCTCGAAACGAAAATTTAATTCATTTTCACATTTTAAAGACCAATGTTCAGCAAATGAGACAATATAATTTAAACCATCGTACTTTCAACATCAACAGAGGCCATAAAAATCTTAAAACCACCTTGAAAATATAGTTTCATCTACCCCAAACATGAAAGTATCCACTTGATCCCGGATCTCAGTCCTATTGAGCGGCCTACCATCCACCTCTGTCTTCAGCAGCAAGTCAAGGAAATTCATCCTCTTCTTTTCATCGAAAAACTCATCGCCACTTTCATTTTGCAAACTCTCAATCCTCCTCTCTATCACCCCTTCCGTGAAGGAATGGTACGTTTTCAGCATCCGCTTTTCCCGGAAGTACATCGGAGTGAAACAGTATAGCCAGTCAGGCAGAGGAACGAGTGTCCTGATCACCATTAAGTCGGTGATGGACGCCAAGCTAGCGAGGAATTCCGACTTGCTGTTCGTCTGGGCGTTTACAGAAATCCCCATAGCCGCCTCTGAAATTTCAAAATTGTGTGATTTTGTGTAGACTGTATATTCCGAGTGATTCTAGTTTGCATATTGAATCTAAAAGTGTTGATCCATTTTCTGTTATTTCTCGCCATTGGTGCCTCAATCCATACTAAAGTTACGGGCCATCATAAATGATTACAAGCCACGTTGTCACCCATTTTATGCAACTAATATTACAAGACTGGTACTGTCAAGTAAACATTCCTAAATCTTAACGTCACCAATTTTACTGATTCGTTTGCAATGAACTGTGACAAACCGTTATGTCTACGTTCGAGATAATCCGATCGCAGATTGGTAGAATACAATCTCGTGAAAAATTGCGCCAATCACACCCGGTGAAACAGATTGTTGCGTAATTTTACAGGTCACATGGCTTGTAATCATTTATTAAAGCTATATACTATTTATTGACTTTTGGAAACTATTTTGTTTAAATAATAAATTAGACCACTCAATAGAGCATTAAATTAGTGATTTTGTGACAAAATTACTAGTAGCCACGGACTGTGCTGTGCCATCATATAAAAGGTAGTCTGTAAATATACCTGTATGCTTATATGTTTTCTACTCCAATTTACCATTAATTAATTTTTTATAAACATTTCTATGCAAAAAAACGAATTTTTTTTAGTTTTTTATTTTTTTTAGAGATCTGGACCCTAGTTACGTTTTGTTTTGTTTTTTTTTGTTAATAACTTTTTTATTTTGCAACTTAAAAATCTGAAATTTACACAGACGCGAGATAATGTAATTACCTTTCGATTCTTTTTTACCAAATTTTGATATCTTGACTTAGGCAGAAGATATACGCGCTCGCGTTTTCGATTTTATAATTTTGTAATAGGCCGCCATTTTGAAATTGGGGGTCCGAATTGCGAGTATTTGTTGAGCACTCCAACAGTTATCTTTTCTTGTAGTTTCATCCAATTTCAGTCAAATTTGTCCTTTTTATTTAATTCTGAAAATTTTGCACATTTTTTTTCACCGCTAATTTTGCAATGTAAAAAAAATTGAGAGCTTTCGCAAACGCTCTTTCTTGTAGTAAATTTCCTCAGAAGCAAAATCGATAAGTATACCTCATGTCGATTAGAGACGGGGATATAAGCGAAAAACTGATTTTTTTTCTTTTGTTATACACAATATGAAGCTAGACCTCTACAAACACACAAATTTAGGCTTTTATTCTGTGTATTTTTGTCACAAACAAAACCTCTATTGTTTGGCCTAAATGAGTCGACATATTTTTTGTATGCCAAGATATTTATAAGGTTCTCACCGCAAATAATGTCGAGAGTGCAGAGATTCATCAGTGGATATATATCCACACTGTCATTGTCCCCTTCTTTTTCAAGTTTTTTCGCCAAAATACCCCCATTTTTTTCAAAAACTTCTATATATCTACTCAAGTTTGAAACGTGGAACGACGGATTTAACATTCGTCTTTGTTTCCTCCAGTTTGCCGCTGAAAAAAAAAAATTAATAGAAATAAATCTATAGCTCGACCAAACTTGTCTTGTTCACGAGATCAAGAATGGAGTCATCAGTAGCAGTGACGTAGGCAGGGGACGTTAATAGTACGGTGGGTACATTTTGTGCAATAATTTTACCTGGGTCTGGCAAGTATAGAAATAAAGGGTTACCGCCGTAGCATCCGAGGTACTTCGTATATGAATTCTATGACTAATTTTAAGCAAAAATGATTCTATCCACTTTTCCTGGATTACCAACGGTTCTTGAAATATCGGGGTTTGAAGTTTGCTTGAGCTTTTGGAAAATGATCCTGTACTAGTACGAGAAGAATTTCTGTACTTACTGGACAAAGTGGACAGCTGTGCAAGACACTTCGAGAATGAATTCGTCTCTGTGAATGGTGGAACAAACATCTGGATACTGTTTCAAGAACCCTTTTCTGCAACGAAGCTATATTTACAAGAAATGGGATCAACAATTTCCACAACGATCATGTGTGGGCGATCGAAAATCCTCATGCTATTCGAGAAACCCATTTTCAGATAAGATTCTCTATGAACGTTTGAGCTGGAATAATGAATATAATGAAGTTATTGGGCCACATTTCTTCGAAGAAAATTTGAACAGAGAGGGGAACTGGGCTTTTTTAGGGAACGATCTACCTCTACTACTTCAGGACATTCCTCTTCAAATCAGATGTTCTTTTTACATGATGGTGCTGCGTCGCATTATGGTAGAGACGACATTAATTTCCTCAATGAAAAGTACCCAAATCGATGGATAGGTCGTGGTGGTCCCATTGCTTTACCACCGCGATCTGCGGACCTCAACCCATTGGACTTTTTCAGGTGGAGACATGTGAAGACACTTACCTATTCAATGAGGAAGCCTAATTGCAGAGACACATTCATTGAGAAGATTCATACAGCTTTTGATGAGATGAAAAACAATATGGAGAACTACAACTGGAGACGAGAGCTTCGACGAGGATTGAGTTATGCATTGCATAAGACACTGGTCACATTGAGCAGCTTCAATAATTGCACTGTCATTACGCTTTTATTAAAATAAAACACATTTTTCTAAGCCCTCTAGTAGCAACTTCAAACTCCGATATTTCAAGAAGTATTGGCAATTCGGGAAAAGTAGATAGAATCATTTTAGCTTAAAAGTTGAATTTGGTAAATCTATACAGGAGATTTGTTGAAAGCATAGCTTACCGGTCGCAGTGAATACAGAATTCCCCAACCACTTTTCCATAACTTTATACTGTGACGCTTTGTCGATTATTTTTGTCGAGCTCAGAACCAACTCTACCAGTTTTGTATCAGAAGTCAAGACCAGTTCTTTGAAAGGTCCCAAGTGAAACTTAACTGTTTTTCCATATTTTCTCGTGTATCCTCTTAATATAGAAAGTTGTTCTGCGAACATAAATATAAGTAAACGTGCAGGGTGTTTAAAAAACACGGACGAAGTTAAAACAGGAAACTAATTTTAAGTTCGAGGTAAAGTGCCCGCTAGCGGCGCATAATGAAAGTTCTATCTACTTAGTGGGTGTGCCAAATGAGAGACTAATTGAACTTGAATTAAATAACTTATTTAAGAAGAAAAATTTTTTTAAATGAACTTTGACAAGTAGTAACTTGCAAACAATCGAAAAAAATTCAAAGTCGAATTCGAAAAAAATATTCATTGCATACTGCTATTATCTTAATCCCTAGAATCACTTCCCGGAATTTCCTGATGGACTTTCAAAACACACTGTATAAGCCAAATTATCAATAAAATTAAAAATTTAATTTATTAGTTTAGCGTAGATCTACAAATTTGGAGTGTATGCTGAAAAACAATTGTTACTTGTAAGATAGACCATCATCGTCAAATATTTATGATGAAAATTATGAAACGCGTTAATGATCATGTTTTATTGATAAACAAAAATTGTTTCCCTTCTCCAAAGCTTACTGTTTGAAATTTCGAAATTTTACATTTTGCATTTACGGCGTTGATATTTCTGTATTAATAATTATTTCATTTGTAAAACGTTGAAACTATCCATATCAACGGATTCGCAGTAGAAAATTCAATCCGCTGCGGCTGAATACCTAAACATTTTATGGAAAAATAGAGTGTTTTATATCTCTTTAAAAAAATCTGTTTGTCGGACATAAAACAAGATTTTAGGCAAAATTTCCTCTGAAATTTAAAAAAAAAATCCTGAACTATCCCTTGCACCACTGTATACAGGGTGGCCCAATTAAAACAATTCACCTGAAATATGTTCATTGCAACAGGTTTATCCGGAAAACCCCAAAACAGGTCGATTTTGCTGTCAAGGGGTACATTTTTTGACCATAAATTGACTTGAAATAAAAAAACTCACCGTTTAACTATAATTTTTGTGACATTTTTGTAAATTAAAAAAAAATTATGTATGAAAGATGCATTTTTTCTAAGGTTCAGCGCTATTCTACGAATTTGTAAATATGCCCATTGTTATTTTTTCGTCGAGCTACCCCAGTTTAAAAAAAATAAGTTTCTACAATGAATAGAAGCCGAGATATTGCAAAATTTACAGCGCGGATCAATTTGAACTTTGGAATTAACTTTTCTCGCGCGCGACTCGCTTGGACGAGCTTCCCCCACCACCACGCCGCCGGCCGCCGGACAGTTTACTTAGCAAATACCTTCTCTTTAAAGGGCTCGTGAGTCATTAATTTTCCACATTTTTCAATGGAAATCGTAATTTACGTCGTAATTTTATTTTGCGAAAAATTCAAGTCTTAATATTTATAAACAATTGCGCTACGATTTAAAAAACAAATCTTATCTTGGCTCCTGTTGGTCGTAGAGGGTGCTTTTTAAAAAAAAATTGTATCTATTTTCGGTGAGGTAGCATAAATAGCAACAATTTTATTCAAATTGTTTATAAGCGAAAAACGCAATGTTTTTTAATGCACAATTTGAGAATGTTAATGTCAAAAAAACGGTGATATTTTTAATAGGTCGCTTAATTACGTCTTCAAGATTACAATGACGCTTTCAGCATCATGTTTGGTTGAAAATTAACGCCTGTACAGAGGCTTAAAGTTCATAACTTTTGGAGCCTCCGCTATAAACAAATAGAATTGTGCGAAAACTATTGCACCTACAGCGCCCACTTTTGGCACACTTTTAAAGTATGACAAAACCCTCAACTTGTCATAGGTTTTATAAAATTTTAACAATAAATGCGATAGTTATAAACAAATTAAAAAATGGGCACTTTTCTTGTTTTTTTGCAATAACTTTTTTGTTTATTAACCGATTTTAATTTAACAAGTCTCATTTTGTAGATAATTTTACTCCCTACAAGCTGTCTGTGAGTCACTTTTCGCTAAAATTGATGGATTTCCCTGCAAAGTGAAAAAACTGTTTTCCTCAGAAAAGTTAGCTAATAAAAGTTTTTGACTCACGAGATGAGAGATGTCTTGTATTATGTTCCTTTAGACAATTTTACAATAATCTCGCGGATAGGACTTTTTTCGAGTAAAAATCTTATTGGCTTGGCCTAAAAGAATGCTTTTGCTTAAGGAAAACATTTCCTGTTTCTTGTTTCACTTCGTTATCGTGTTTTGAAAACACTCCGAATTTTGAATAAAACAATAACTGTTTTATATGAACAAATTTTAATATATGCATTAATTTCTCGCTGTTTTCTTCATCTACTCCAAATTTTTTGGTACAAAGGAGTCATAAAACAGCTATTACAATAAATAACAAATAAAAACTTTACTTACTGTATCGCGGGGCTATGAAGTCCAGCAAATTTCCAAAAAATATATTAGGCTTCGGCCCGGGAACGTTTTTCAGACACTTCTTGGGCTTCCTCAAATAGTAAAAATACAGTAGCACCACTATGACACCAGCTACATACTCGCTAAACATATTTGGAAATTCTCTCGCTGCGTCAGGGAAATTGTGCGTAGTTTGTTTAAAAGGACCCGAATTAATAGTGGTCGAGTTAAAAAAAAAAACGAAATGTTACAGAACTTTCCGAAAGCGAATTTCGTCCTGAAAAATAATAACATCCAGTGGCGTGCTAATTTTTTTTGCGAATCTAAAAATTTATCAGCCCAATAATACTCGCATTAGTAGAGTTTTGATAATTGTATTATAACCTACACTTAAGTTGCAGTTGTCTGTTTCGATGTTGGAAGCCAGGAACATTTTGGTATACTCTGTAGATATTTTAAAATAATGATTAAATATATAGATACAATTTGAGATGTTTTCTGGGACTGAAATGGAAATCGATTAATTTTTGTTTTCTTTTGTCGTTTTCAACAAAAACATGAATAACTAATAATACGAATTGCAGCTGTGTTGTTTAAAATCATCAAAAAATTTAATAGTTGGCTATGAATTTGAACCTCAGTTTTTGTTAAGTATTTTGTTACATGATAAATACTTACATCTAAATAATATTTTAGAACAATAAGATGCTGCTTGCCGCGCTCATCGGTCCGCCACTGTCTGACCAAAAAAGCGTTTAAACAACGTGGAATATTTACATAAGCAGGAAGTAAAAGATATCCTGAAAAGCCACAAATGATCATCTGGGTTGTGCAAGGCTGCAATCAAAATATGTCGATAAACAAGGTGGATATGAAAAATTATTTCATATTTTTTTTTCCTCAAAAATGTCCTACCAAATAATGTCAAACAGTGGTGTAACTTCACACACAAGATTCAAAACTGTTCATATTACAAGAAAAAACTATTCTATGGACCATATGTCCAAATGGTAATAAATAATGGGGTCTTTCAGTAAATTTTCAAAAACGTTCTTATTTTGTGTACACAAAGTATTGCTTATGATAAGGCGATTCTGAAAATTTCAACTCAATCCGTTGAACGGTTTTTAAACTATATGATTTTCAAAATGCGAGTCGTGGCAATGCAATGACGTCACCGCATGGGACGGTCAGCCGCCTTGGCGCTACTTCCAGG